TTCAGTCATTTGGTGGTCCCTCACTAACCCCCCTGCCAGCCTGGTAGTAGGCAGCCATCTTGTGAGGGTATGAGGGTTAATTTGCATATTACCTCTTCTTATATAGGATTCTATCAAAATGGGAACAAATTTTAAGGGATGTTTTGCATCCTAACCTTTCATCATCCATCTCTAATTATGGTAAAAGTTATTCTCAAGTTAATGTAATTTCAGTCATCTTGTTGACAGGATAGATAATTTTGAGGGTTTGGAGCCCTCCACTTGTCTCATTACATAATGTTCTTATTTTTGCTCTCTTGAAAACATTGCTAAACGCATCTGTATACTTAGTGGCTGTTTACAGGCATGCAGTATACCTTTTTCTCCCCACCTCTGTCCCACAGCCCATTTTTTTTATCCTCACTCCAGGTTATGTTCAGAAAGTAGAGGGGGAGGGGGGTAGAGGGGGGGGGGAGAGAAACATTGATATGAAAGAGAAAGATGGATTGGTTGCCTCCTGTACATGTCCAGATCGGGGATTGAACTTGCAGCAACCTAGGTATGTGCCCTAACTCTATAGCAAACCTGCAACCTTTGGTACATGGGATGATGCTCCAACCAACCAAGGCACTTGGCAAGACATCCACAGTCCATCTTTTATAAAAATTTTCCAAATTCTTTGTGAGTCCATGTTCCAGGAGCACAATTCCAAAGAACAGCCAAAGGCAGAAGGATGAACATATTAATAATTTAGGCTTTTATTATATTGGCTAGTGATTGTCAGCCAATATAGAAGTTAGAATGAATTGCCTCCCCAACAGAGTCTTGGGGGTAATGGGACATAGGACACTGTCTGATGTCAGGGAAGGGATTCAGCATCACATAAGCAAAGCCCCAATGGGACCAAAGAGAATGGCGGGCCTGGGTGAGAAGACCTATGAATAAGAAAAGAATAAATGACCTATGTGAGTGAGCAGAAGAGGAAACCCTCAAGTATCTGTAAAGTCATCATGATAAAGATGGTTAGCCTTGCTATGTATTAGAATTGGAGCCAGTGGAATAAATATAAACATATCTCATTAAAGAAAAAACTATACATTAGAGTTGTTCAGAAATAGAATCATCTGTCTTAGAAGGAAGTAGAAAAATCAGTGCCAAAGAGGCTAACACAGGGGTGAGCAAACTTTTTGACTCGAGGGCCACAATGGGTTCTTAAACTGGACCGGAGGGCCGGAACAAAAGCATGGATGGAGTGTTTGTGTGAACTAATATAAATTCAAAGTAAACATCATTACATAAAAGGGTACGGTCTTTTTTTTTTTTAGTTTTATTCATTTCAAATGGGCCGGATCCGGCCCGTGGGCCGTAGTTTGCCCACGGCTGGCTAACATCTAATTTTCAGGAATTTTTAAGAAAGCATTCAAGGTGAATTGTTGAATTAACCACAAGGGCAGTTCTACTCTGAGATGTCATGGTTGTGTCAAGTGAAGGTCTTGGGTGCTTATGAGGTTCCTATGTACACATGATGGGGATGAGCTTTGACCGAAAAAAAGAGCCATGGAGAATGAGAGGGAAAGAGAGATCTCTGGAACAATTTGGTTTCGTTCTGTTTTAATACAACTCAGCAAACATTTATTATCTGTGATGTGTAAGACAGCCTATTAGGCATATCACAATTTCCCCCATGTTGGTTCATGTAAGATATGTTTATTGAGTAGCTACAACAGAGTTTACATTCTACAAGTAGGTGAAGATAGAAAAAAGAACATGGCATCATGGTACCCTTGAAGGAGAGCAAATCTAGAAGGGAAGAAAAGCGTAAGAGACTTTTATATTATATGGACAGGACTGTCCATCTGACTAATTTTTCTTTGAAAGAGAAACTGGCAGGCCTTGTATACAGAGAATACATTGAAAAAGCTTATGAAATAGTAAAAAGCAGATATATAACCTGAAGTTGTACTTCTGCCACTTATTAGTGAAATGATTGTTGGTAGGTTGAAATCTCTATTAGAAGCCTCCATTTCCCCCTCTATAAAATGGGGGTATATAGTTGTAAGAAACTGGTACATCAAGATCCATAGAGATTATAATGAGTTTGTTGTTTTAAATAGTTAGAAAAGTAATATAATTTCAGTATCTATGTTTTATAAAAATATAAAATATATAAAATTAACAACTTACAGAAACATAGCTGGCATTAATATAATCCGATCCTGGAATACTAGCATCAGCTATCAGCTTCACTCTGTTATTATTATCTAGAAAAAAAATGTAAGAAATCAATACTAATTCCATTTTAACTTGCCACTACATTTTTACTATAAATATAATACAAAGAAGTTCATGATATAACATTCAACATTACAGATGGGTATAAAAGTAAAGTAGAAGTTCCATTTTATCACATATTTTCACTACCTAGAGACAATGACTATTAATATGTCCTTGCATATGTTTCCAGAGATTTTTGTACATACTCATAGAAAATTAATCACAAACTGCTTTTTTCATTTACCTGTATCATTCCATATTAACATAAACAATGATATCTAGCTCTTTATTTAAAAAATCCATGTAGTATTTCATTGTTTGATTACATCATATTTAAAGGTTTGAATTAATGTCATTTTTTAAATAAAATGCTGAATAAAGATAACTGAAGTTTTTGCATGTATGTTGGAGTGTATTTATATATTACCAGCAGTAAAATTCCCAAATCATAATGTGCATTTCAAATTTTGAAAGATAATCCCAAATTGTTCTGTAATTATACCAATTCATACTCTGAACAAAAATGTTCAAACAATTCTGTTTCCTCTTATTTTTACTACCACACAATATTATCCAACATTTTAATTTATGATCTTCTGACAGACACAAATTGATATCTCATAATATTTATTTTTATCCCCTTAACTATAATTAAAATTCAGCTTCTTTGCTTGTTTATTGGCCTTTTCTATTATTTCCTTTTCATACTATACTACTTTCCTATTAAAAATACTTTATACTAAAAACAAAAGTTACATGTGTCCTATTGTATTATGTATTAAACTTTTCTCCTTTGTTGTTGGTCTTTTACTCTATCAATCTAGCTAGCTATCTTATCCTACATAAAATATATATTTTTTGTAATCAAATTTCTCATTTCATTATGGCTTCATTAGAGCTGCTTTTATCATTCATGCGAAGGTGTTTGTCAACAATATTCCTATTTTCACAAATTAATTCATACTTTCTTCTGGAACTTTAATATGCTTTTTTGCTATTGTTTTAAGTATTTCAATCCATTGAAATTTATTTATTTATTTATTTATTTATTTTACAGAATGAAGTAAAATCTATTCTTTATTGTTTGTTTGCTTGTTGCCATTTGAAACAACAAATAGACCCCATTTTTTAACATTCCTCCTTCCCCTTCTAATTCAAAATATTACTTTATTAATTCACTAGATTTCTCTATATTATTTACATCTATTTCTGGAGTACTTATTCTCTTCTATTAATTTATGTGCTTATTCTTGATTTAATACCAAACTTTTAATTATTAGAATTTTTAAGATTTGGAAAATACAAATAACCCCTATTACTTTTCTTCAAAATATTAGATTTTTTTCCCTGAATATTTTTTTTTTACCAAGTTGGTAATATAATTACAATTTCCAGTGCTAATTTTAAGTAGACATGGGAATAATAAAAAAATATATTATTACTAATTAATTATTTTGAATGATTTTTTTAAACCTTAATGAGAAGACACTCAATACCGGAGGAAAAATGAGAAAATGAGTTTGGGTTTGAATTCCAGATGATCTGTCTACTATCCTCCTTTGTTACCTCAGCTATAATATGTGGCTAGAATATTTATTTTGTAGAATCCTCTTGAGGAAAACTTACATAAAGCTTATGGTAAGCATTCAATACGTTTCTTCATATTCTTAAAACTTGAGCCCATGTTATATGTTAAAATGACATAGCCAGATTGTTAGTAACTAAGGACTTGCACAATGGTTTTAAAGTTAGAGATGGGAAATGTTTAGCAAATTCATGCTGATGATTATGTTCCAAAGATTCTGAATTTGGTATGACCAAACTATTTTAATGACATGGTGGCTAGTCCTGTAACTAAGGAAGGTTTCTATTCACTCGATACGTCTGTTTATAACTATCTGAGTCAACAACAAGTTAAATTTTTTATTCCTAGTGTTGGAACACTCCTGAAGGTCATGCTGTCCTGTCAAGCAGAGATTTGCAAATCTCTTCTGCAAGTATTTGTGGCTAATTCTAGCATCTTAAAGCCCTGTAAGCTAATATCTTCTAAAATGCACTGTGATATTTGAAATTCTACTTCCTACATTACTCAAGGGAAACAATGCACTTCACTGGTCTGGCTCAGGCTGAAATTCAGATTCTATTAAAATGAATTCATTCTCTACAGGAGAAAAAACATTTCTGCGGCTTTATGGCTTCTTTGCAAGCACAATGGGTAAATATATTTAGTCTAAACTCATTTGCTTATTCTGTGTGTGTGTGAAGGAGTGGGTGGTGGATGTACTGGACATAGAGGTGGCTGTGAGTTTACCACTTGCCATTTAACCCAGGCTAGGAAAGTGATCTTGTTATTCCCAGACTATAGACCATAAGGGCCTATTCCTAAGTCTTAGTCACTCAGAAAGTTAGCATTTTTTTGTAAGATAAGCAACCTACTGATTATTTACAATTGTAAGAACATATTGAGTGTTTTTCCTGTTTCACTACTGGGCAAATTGATTTACATGATTATTTCATCTGATCCTCACAATAACCTTAAGAGATAGAAACCACAAATAATATGTCCAGTCACTAAAGTAGTTAGTGGGTAAATAGGCTCACAACCCAGGGTATTCGATTAGAACCCATGTATTCTTAGCTTATTTTTTTTATTACTATACAGAGGGTATGTGTTAGTTGAATTAACAAATTATTCTAATAACATTCTTGGAAAATATAAAATTTTACCTAACAAAATTATTTCTTATAGGACCTCCAACTCTTTAAGACAGTGGTTCTCAACCTGTGGGTTGCAACCCCTTTGGGGATCGAACAACCCTTTCACAGGGGTCGCCTAAGACCATCCTGCATATCAGATATTTACATTACGATTCATAACAGTAGCAACATTACAGTTATGAAGTAGCAACGAAAATAATTTTATGGTTGGGTCACAACATGAGGAACTGTATTTAAAGGGCCAGAAGGTTGAGAACCACTGCTTTAAGAGGACAGTTAAGAAAAAGGTTTCCCCGTACAAATCCATAGATATAGATGTAATATATTATTTGAAAAAGTACCATAGGTTTTTAGTACTGAAATTAAGAAGAAAGCAGAAAACAACTGGATATTATCCATTTGACTCTAGCAAAGAAAAAAAGAAAGCATGAACTTTCCATTCTAATATTCCAGAACATCATTAATTTACAACATAAGTCCATCACTAACAATTATTTTTTTTGTCATAGCCTCAGAAATCAAGAGTTGGAATACTCATGTGCCTCAGTTCTTCTTGTTCTAAGGTTGTTTATTTAGTCCCATCAACCATCCTTATTCTCATTTTATCCTATAAGTAATAAGTTAGTACTGTCTGACTATTTTATAGCTATGATGTGAATCCAGATAATAATGCAGTGAAATCTTAATAATAAAAGATTGAAATATCACATTTAAAATATCTAACAAATTTTTACAGATTTAAATTAAATATTCTTTGATTCTTGACAACTAATCAGACATATTTGATTTACTTATTTTACATATACTGACATATAATAAATTCATTCAGCCAACTATATAATTGTAAACAAATATTAAATATTACATAGTAACTATCCTTCAATCAAACTATAGTATTTATTTTCACAGAATATCACTGAGTGTGCATGAATTAGATAGTCTGGAAGAAATTTAGGTACAGATGAGTATAAAAATGTAATTTCGATAACTCTTAAACTTATGATGCATCCAACCCAAGTTAACTCTCTTAAAGGGAAGACCAAAGGGCCTGTTAAGAAAGGTTATGTCATAAAAGTTTGGAGATGTAAAACATTTCTTATTTTCTATAAGGTCTTATTTGTCAACTGCTCTTAAAGTCATTTACTTACGATTTGTTTTGTTCCAGAAAGGATTTTAGGATTAAAGTTATTTGTATTTTCATCCTATTCTAATTCTTGGGAATTAGCAGATTCCATTAGATTACTTCCTCCTATATCATGTTTCCTTAAATTTTTTATTTCATGTCTCAGTTATCCTCTAGTTCTAGAATATCAAAATTTGGCCCATTTCTCCCTATCCATATACTTTGTGACTTTACATTCTGTGACTGTATCCTTCTTTAAGTCCATGTCTTTTTAGACAGAAAAGTTCAGTTTTTAAATATGGAATGTTCCCCAATATAGCTTTGAAAAGGCATAACACAAAGAGAAAAATTATATTTACTTTAAAATTAAGAATATTTTAAAACTTTAGATTTTAAAATAAATATTGATAATATTTAAAAACATCAAAAGTGGCACTTTTTATTTCATAATATAAAGGGTATTAAACTAGAATATAGATAGCAGAAACATGTTAAAAAATACAACATCATATATAGCTATTATTAACAGAAGTATGTTATGTTTTTTTCTTTAATTCTTAAAGCAATAATATGTTTTGTTTTTTTATTGATTGAAAAACAAAGCCATTTTTAGTATGGTAAGGCACAGTTCAGCCTTATTTGTAAAACCAATCCTGGTAAGCATAAATGTACATTAGCTTTATTAAATATATTTGATTCTCACTGAATATTTTGCAATGCATTTTTTATATTCCATAAGAAAACAATGCAATTCTCTTAAGGGAAACTAATGCACAAAGTTTCACGTGAACTTTCTCTTTTCATTTGAAAATTATGTCGGTAGGAAGATGTTAGAGAGTTTTGTTACTTGGGTTAAATTACAAAGCTGAAAAACTATTAGGTCTACAGTTTCTTGCACCTGCATTAAGTGAACCTTGTGTGACAAGCTGCAAACCATGTTTGTTAACTTTAATAAAATTAACAAAGCAAAAATGCTATAATTTGAAAGTTTCTGCTAACAAAACACATTATTATAATTTAATTAATATGCAATAAAATATATTTAAGAAATGAAAAAAAGCTAAGATGCATTTTGTGGTCATGTTAAAGCATTTCACAGCTAAAACCAGAGATGGTAAGAGCACATACATGGTTTTATGTTTGGAAAGCGGTTTTTTGCTCGGTTCCAAGGCAGATCGGCATCAGTTGAAGAAAGATCCTGAAGAAATTTTGGTAATTCCTGTGGAATGAAGTCATTGCACAGTTTACAGTGATGTCAAAGGTAAACAAGAAATTCCACTTAGTAAAAGATCATTCTTTTTTCTAAACCCTTTTATATTTAAATTTAAAACTCTTCTCAGAATTGTAGAAACAAGGTATAATTAACCTTAATGAGCTTACGTAAACTTTCACTGAAAATATCCTGAATAAAAGTGGTCAGTTGGGCTATTGCTCTCTGGTATAATTTCTTTATACTTTGGGAAGCTCTAAGATGTGGCAACCATGTTAGTATCCCTTTCCCATATTTTCTTAGTGGTTTTATTATATATACATAGAATATTATTTAATATTTTAATGTCTACTTAGGAGGGGAAAGGAGGCCAGTGATTTATTTTTTGTTTTTTCTCCTCAGGCAGTGTGATTTCATGCCTAGTAATTGGTACAACACTGGTCAGTTTGAGAAGATGCCAAAGGTCAATTCCTGCTTTCAGAAGGCATTGCTAAATCGAGAGTAGAATGCAAAGGTGCAATTAAGAATGATCAGACACAGATGAAGGGTCAAGAAGATCTATTATTGACATTTTGGTGAAAAATCATGATATCATCTATTCATCATTAAGAAAGTTGGTGCTAAAAAAGTATTCATTATTGTGTTGAGCTGAGATTTACATTTTCGAAATTTATAATTTTTCATTTTAGAAATGTCTCAACTTGCCAAATTCCTTAAAAGCTACTAAAATATGTGTTTTTACAATTCATTCAACATCATTATAAATTATTTATTTTAATTGAATAATTCTCCCTCCCACCTTATTTTATCTCAGAAAGAAAATCTGGACAGTCTGATGCAGGTGGGTAAGTGTTAGAGCATAGGGACAGTGTAAACATCTGAATTCTGGGGTGTTGGTATCAGAGGCTTAGGAAAAAAAAGAGGAATCCTATAGCCTCCATGTGTCACAGTTTTGGGAGCATATTTGAAAGAGACAAAGAACTATGTGGAAGAGGGGAGAAGAAAAGTGAATTGGAAATTATCCGAAAAATGGTACTTCTATAATTATTTCACATATAAATGTCCATTTATAGACTTAAATGACTCTGGCCTTGATAATCAATACACAATTACCAGGCTGACTGTTCGGATAGTAATGTGACACTTGATGGCCTCAACCGTCCTCCCTACTGTTATCTCTTTCTTCTACTGCTTCCTCTTTTCAGTGGGATCACAGTTGGACCGTTTTGCATCCTTATGCGCTTGCATTTATTCCCTCTCTCTGGAATACCTTTTTCCCTTCATGTACTCATTGGATTTCTGTCCGAAATTCATCTCAAAGGTCACCTTTTTGTGAAGTCTTTTCTGACTGCTATCCTAACAGAGTTTATCCTCATTTTTTAATGAATATCTCTGTCATGATACAGTGCCTCTGTAATCTTAAATACATATCTGCAGTTATCATAATATGAACTTCTTTCTGGTAGGAATAATTGTCATAATAGCTAACACTTGTGCCAGCCACTATTCTTAGTAGTACACATGTTCAATCATTTTAGTCTTCACAACTCAATGAGGTAGATGCTAACATGTTATAGATGAGGACAACAAAGCACAGAGAGTTTAAGTGATTTGCCCAAGGTCACTTAGATATTAAATATGGAATTGATATATAGCAAAGTGCCAAATACAATGCCTGTCATCTGATATGAGCTTATAAATATTTAAAGTATAATATGTGAATATAACCTGAATTATAAGTTTTTTCAAATATATGCATCAATATGCATTTGTTTATTAAAACATAATTTTGCTTTAACAAACTTAATACAGCATTAGGATAAAAACATTAAAACAAATCCCTTGCAAATCTTTTGTATATATATATATATATATATATATATATATATATACACACATTTATATAACATATACACAAAACCTATATATTTATATAAAAACGCTCCAAGTTCTTAAAACCATGATCTCCAAAAGAACTAAACTAGAAACTTTCTCAGTATAATATATGTGAAAAAGTTATTGCTAATAAAACTTTTCATCTACTCAGTCATGCATAATGTAATTATATTCGCTTCTATTCTAGTGAAATTACACTTTTGCTTCTGAAAAATTGAGAGTTCCTGCTGTGTAAATGCTAAAGAGAGTTTTATGGTACCACCGATTTTGTTAAGTCCAGACCAATATTACTTAAGAAGCATAACCAAAAAGCTGTAGGAAATACCATTAATCTTCTCACATTTTTTGTTATTATTCCCTGAGAGGCTGAAATATTATAATGCTGAATCATTCAAGCCAATTGTTCAATTCTTTGTTTCATAAGTTCACACACTATATGAATTTCATGAAAAAACAGTTTTGGTGACATTTAGAAATCTGTTTTATTTTCATAATACAGAATAATCATCTAAGTTAGGAAAGATGCTTACAAGTCTTAAAATAACTTGTGAATCTGATAGCTACCTTTCATTTTAAAATAACTTCAATTTTATAGCTATATAAAATGCTAAAAGCAACAAAACTATTCTTAACTTTTAAATAGTTTTTAGGTGACAAGTTCTTTACTTACTTTCCATAACATGAGACAGCATTATTTTCATAGTAACTTAAAAATAGGCCTTGTAAAACATGGACAGTCCTTATCTATTTTTTATTTTTGGACAGTTCTATAAATAACATTATTTGTATAATCTCTGGACACATCAACTTCTGCTCTCAGGTTCACCTATACCACAAACATAAACTAAGCTGGCAAATATAAATTGGAATTATTTAGTTTCTATATTTAAAATAATTACTTAAATATAAACTGCATTTATGGTATAACCCAAGCCCCATACTCAAGAAAAAACTAATGAATACAAGTGCTATAAATTAGCGTCTACTTCTGAATGAGAGAGCAGAGAAGAAAGGAGGCTAGGATGCTATCCCCGGGAGGTCTGAAGAAGTGCACCTTTCCTGACACAGTAGGTGAATAATTCTGTTCAGGTTGCACCAGAGGCCGCCCAGTGTAACATTACTATCCAAACAATCAACCTGGTAATTGGGTATTGATTATCAAGGCCAGAGTCCTTCATGGCCTTGCATGCTTAAAGTGGACATGAAATGTGACACATGAAACGACCAGAGGTCTGGCAATGTTGTGACAACTGTTAGTAACATACCGAAAATTCTTCTTGAAACTTTAGGTTGTTGTTTGTGCAAAGCTCTTCAACATGTTGTAGGAAGGATTTCTTGCTGATCGGCCTCCAAGCAAGAAAAGGTATAAAATGGAGTCACATTAGGTTGTGTTCTTTCACTTTAGTATGGCACTGGTTAGCAAGTTAAAGAACAGCAGACATTTCAAACCCCATAAACCACCCAACTCCATAAAGTCACTCTGTCATACTTACGAAATTAACTTTTCTCCTTTAAGTGCACTTTCTTTGTATTCATGGTTCAAAATTCCTTCTATTTTTAAGTGACTTTAAGTGAATGATTTAACATTTTAATGAAGAAAGTTTTTCAAGTAAATGTAGGGGCATAAAGTTATCATTGAATCCTCAAGCACATAATACCTCTTTGTCATACAGAAAACATTTTATACATTACAAGGTTTTAGAAGATATAAAATATTGCAGTGACCTCATTCTCATAATGACATGGCTTTTAAACCCCAAGGAGTTTAAATATCCCCGTATTACTTCCCAAGCTAAAATACAGACATGCAGACTTCACCCCAGAGAGAGAGAAAGCATTTCTCCAGTTACCATGCAATTAGTCATGCTTTTATGATTTATATCCAGCCTGGAGGTTTTTCTAACAAACATACAAGAAAGGAACCATACATTATGATTCATCAAATCAGAGAGTCTAAAGTTGATATGCAAAAAGAAGAAAAGATATTTGATAAACTTACTTGATGGATTTTCTATAACTAAGTAACCTGCAACAGAGATTGTGTTAAATGCGTTATGAGTTGAGGGTATGGCTCTTTCTAAAAGAGTTCTAGATTAAAATCAGAAAAATATAAACCAGTTATGTATAATGTGGAATGCTTTTAACTGACATGTGATCATTATTTAATATTCTATTTCATTTTTAAATGTTATATATTATTTGGACCCAAAATAGACAAATGGTAATTTAGCTTCTCTCTCAATCTAAGAAGGAACTTTTCTATATTGCTTGTTATTTGGGGCACTACATTAAAATGGGTCACTTTTTAATATATTGCATAGTATTTAGTGGTATAAGAAAGTTAATAGGAATTTAAAATATATTTTCTTTGTCCATAGAGAATGCTGAACCAGGAAGAATGGGTCATTGAAAAATGACATCATATTGTCTAAGGCTTGTTTCATGAATGAGTTTTGATGCACATATAATCATAACAAAAATCACAATCATTTCAGTTATTTTAAACATATCTTTTGCGACAGTTCATTGGTCAAGTTATTTATACCCTGAAAAAATTGAAATTATTTCTAGCAGCTAAATAGACTATGCAACACACAAATTCAGAAATGGGCACATCTTCAGTAACAAGTTTGTCATGCACAACAAATTAGCACTGCAAAAACACAAAGGCCACAAAGTATAATGAAATAAAGTAAAACATATAACATAGTTTTAAATTTTAAATATTATTGGGGATAATTTTACTGTATTCCTTCAATAAAGAATCATTATAAGAGGATGCTATGTGAAGTAAAGGATGAATGGAAGAAAATAGATTGAAAAACATGGCATAACGAATATTATGAAGATGGTCAAAAAGGGATGTGTTCAATGAAAAAAACATGAGTCAAAAAGAAGTATATTTCATTCTAATACAGGGATTGGTGAAAAGTACTGGGGTGGTGGAGCAAGTATTATCAAGAAGAATGATAGAATCTTGGTTAATACTGTAGGTGTCCTCAAGCAGAAGGAAACCTCTCCCAGCTTCTCAGGCTGTAACCTGGCGGAGCATCCCATTATCAAACATGGCATGACAGTGATAAAGTAGCAATGTTTGAGCAAAGTCTTGGTGGATGAGCTTGTGGGCTTTCCACACACCCTCCAGTGATTCTAAGAAGGCAACAGAGAAATTCTGACTCCAAATGGATATGGAGATGGCTGAATGGGCTATTACATCAGAAGAATCCTTGGTTTGGAGACAGGAAGACAAAATCTGAAATAGAGGCCTTGGAAATCCTTCAGACATGGCAACGGTAGGAACTGGGGAAACAATTGGAAATAACTACCCCTTAGCAAAGACCATCAAGAAAAAAAGACACTGTGGCCTAAACCCACACTACCCAAGACCCTTTAGATGCCTGATGCCTGAATGCTCCCATGCCATGATGTTCCTCAGAAATAGGAATGGAAAGGGAATTAGATGGGGCAAATCCTAATTAACCGAGCTTCAGATAGAAATAAATGAGATACTTGAATTATCAAATCTATTTCCCTGTTATCAAACAAATGAAAATTCTTGAGTTGCATGGAGATCATTTTTATAGCCACAAGGAACATTTTTCAGTTTGTGATTGGTGAGATTCAAACAAACTACATCTGATTTAATTACAAGCTCATGGTCCATTTATTTAAGGACAATCAGACTGAACAGATTCTCTCTTTTCTCAGAAGATCCAGGACTGCTTGAGGATCCAGGCTAGACTGGTAAAATATTTTTACTGGAATATCTAGAATCTGAAATAGAGCTAGTTTCTGGTCAGCCATCAATAAATCATTTGAAGAATCAGTTATGTTTAAGACATTCCCAAAAGATGTTAAACATGAATAATCATATGAAAATATAAATAAGCAAGAAAGAGCTAAAGCAACACATTGTTATTCATATTTTTATTCTTTTTTCATTAATGGTATCTATTCTCATTTAGAAATTATAATTAAACATTTTTTTTCTTTCAAGTAAGTTGTTTTCAATGAAAAATGCTACAGAAAGTTTATTTATAATAAATCTTATTATTTTTTTGAAATATTTCTCTAAAAATACTAATTTTAAAACATAACTGGCTCAATATTGGACTTGAATTAATATTTGTGAGGCTTCAAATACCTGCTCCAGTTACATTATCTTGAGCAAGTTACTTTGATCTTTCTGTGCCTCACTTTCTTAATTTGTAAAGTGGGATAAAATTATATAAATCAAGCCCCAGCTGGTTTGGCTCAGCTTGCGAACTGAAAGGTCCCAGGTTCGATTCTGGTCAAGAGCACATGCCCGGGTGTGGACACGATCCCCAGTAAGGGGCTTGCAGGAGGTAGCCGATCAATGATTCTCTCTCATCATTGGTGTTTCTATCTCTCTCACCCTCTTCCTCTCTGAAATCAATAAAAAATATTTAAAAATTATATAGATCAAGTTCATATATGTAAAATATTCAGAAAAAGTCCCTGGTTTTGGTAAGCAATACATAAATATTAGTTACTGTCCTTAGTACTATAGTTACTTTTTCTAGTTTATTTTGTATAACTCAAGTTCCTCTTACTCATTGTTTCTATGATTTATGATATAGATAATATTTTTGGTTTCTACAAGAATATTGTCTTAAATATACTCAAATATGGGTAAACTAGATTATGCTGGATTAAGCAGCAAGATTTCCTATTTTATTTTTCCTAGTCAAGGTTTCTGCATAAAGAATGGTCACAGATATCCAGACTTCCCATCCACATCTGATTTTCCAGTTCCCGCTGCAAGATCCTAAGTGAATTTCAGTTTTCATGTAATCATGTGAAAGCATTTCTAATCATGCTCACATTTTTCACATTATTCCTTACATTTCCCCTTCAGACACTCTGCTTGAACTCCAGATATTCTCTTGGAATTCCTCCCTCTCATTTTGTTTCATTCCAGGTGTTTTCTCACAACCAGATTCTACTGATTTCTTAATAGTTGATTCATATGATAATTTCTCCCTGGAATTTTTCCTCTGTTATTACAGAGAAAATAATATCTTCCTTCTTAGGACAAATCACCTTCTACCTTGTATTATGGCTATTTAATTACATGCATTAAGGACACTGCACTAAGGTCCATGTATTTTTTAAGGCAAGGTCCGGAGTAACACTTGATTTACCACAAGTCCCTCATACCTTATTCATAGTAGACAATGAGTAAATCATTGTTAAGTATACAATGTGGATGAATTCAGACCAAGATACACAGTAAGCTAAATACAAGTGCTCTGATTACCATGAGAGTATTTGAATTAAATCAATTTTCACTAAAATATTAAGCAATTGAGAATTCTCAGAAGGACCTAACTCAAAGCTTTGGATAATTATGATCACTCTACTTATCAGCAAACAGTATAGAGTATAAACAAAGGTCAGATCCTGCCATCCAACACTAGACGTTGACAGGTGCTAGATACTTTTGTTAGGAAATTAGATATAGGAACAAAAAAAAATCGCTCTTGCCTACTTAAGTAATAAAAAATAGGTTTTAAAAAGGAAGTAGGGCCTGTTGTGGCTTTATTTTCTTTTGTATCACTCTAAACCCAATCACTTTCTGCAATCTGTCCTTCACATTTGGATTTATATAATGTAAGAAACAAAGCCTTTAATTCTTATGCAATTGTCTAATTCTTATGTAATTGTCCAGTCTAGGCTTATGTTACAATTTCATTTGCAATAAAATTTTCAGGCCAGCCTGGCAGGTCCCCGGGCCCGTTTGCTTCCCCCTGGACTTCGGCATGATCGGCCAGAAGATGCTCTACTCCTTCTCCTGGAGGCCCGTGAGAAGAGCGGGGATGCAGCAGCCAGCCCGGCCAAGAAGGCCCCGGCGGAGCAGGACGTGCCCAGCACATGGACAGTGGGTTTCAGTGAGAGATGGAAGCACCTCAGTGGAGAGTTCAGAAAACCATATTTTATAAAGCTAACGGGATTTGTTGCAGAAGAAAGAAGACATTACACTGTTTATCCACCCCCACACCAAGTCTTCACAAAGACCCAAATGTGTGACATAAGAGACGTGAAGGTTGTCATCCTGGGACAGGATCCCTATCATGGACCCACAGGCTCTGCTTTAGTGTTCAAAGACCTGTTCCACCTCCGCCCAGTTTGGAAAACATGTATAAAGAGCTGTCTGCAGACATTGATGGTTATGTTCCTCCTGGTCATGGAGGTTTATCTGGGTGGACCAAGCAAGGTGTCTCCTACTCACTGCTGTCCTCACGGTCAGAGCACATCAGGCCAATTCTCACAAAGAGAAAGGTTGGGAGCAATTTACCGATGGGGTTGTGCCCTGGCTCAATGGGAAGTCGAATGGCCTTGTCTTCTCGCTCTGGGGTTCCTATACTCAGAAGGGCAGTGCCATCTAGGAAGCGCCACCACGTGCTGCAGACTGCCCGCTCCTTCCCGCTGTCAGTGTACAGAGGGTTCTTTGGATGCAAACATTTCTCTAAAACCAACTAGTTGCTGCTGCAGAAGTCTGGCAAGGAGCCCGTCACCTGGAAGGATCTGTGACCCTGAACTGGGAGGTGTGTGTGTGTGTGTGGGGCGGGGAGGGGGTATGCCTCTGGGCAGTTTCTAGAAGATCCTATTGAAGTATTTGTCAGTGACAAGTCGAATTTAAGAATCCCCTAGTGATTCTTAAGCACTCTGCACATGGGGGTGAACGTTTCGGTAAAGCAGCCATGAGCCAGGCTGCCCAGGAGTAGGAGCTTTATCCAGTAAAGACTGTATCCTGTGACCAAATGTCTGTGACTTTGGAACTTGGCTTTGGCCTAGCCCTAGATTCTAGGCCCTAGAACAGTGATGGCGAACCTTTTGAGCTCGGCGTGTCAGCATTTTGAAAAACCCTAACTTAACTCTGGTGCCGTGTCACACATATAAATTTTTTAATATTTGCAACCATAGTAAAACAAAGACTTATATTTTTGATATTTATTTTATATATTTAAATGCCATTTAACAAAGAAAAATCAACCAAAAAAATGAGTTCGCGTGTCACCTCTGACACGCGTGTCATAGGTTCGCCATCACTGCCCTAGAATATGGTCTTGGAAGGGAGATGAGGTCAAATCCTCTAGACTCTCCTCCTCTCTGTTTCCTTTATGGTTAAAAATTGGGAGAGAAGCACCTTTTTGGTGTATGTCAGCTGCTACATGTTTTTGCCCGTAGGTTAAACTTTAGCTTCTAAGGCATTGGGTGTTTTTCTTTAGAAAGGGCCCCTTTGCACATCCTGGTGTTCCAGTCTGGGCCAGGTCCACTGCCCCTTTGCTCCTTTACAGAGCCCTCAGGCCCCTCCTGGAGGGAACTAGGATTTTTTTGGCAGGTCCCAGAAATTAGAGATCAGTTTTCTGACTGTAGCAGAGGTTCTTAAGGAACAATCCTTGGTGTGAGCCTTCAGCTTGGCAAAGGCCAAGAGAAGTAGGCTGGTCTTATTCCCACTGTCCTCTGGGTGTTTCTAGGAATAAGCAGTGGAAGTTGAACAGAAAGGAAGAGAAAAGGGGATTTGTTTAATAGATGAAATATTTTTCTGCCAGATGTATCCCGAATTGGGTTTTGAAGGCTGTTTTTTTTATGGACAAATCACCTTGGGATACATTTTCTAGAACACTGGAGAATTTTGATCTTTTAAAAACTACTTATGAGGATGCATATATTTTTTTAATCCTTTTTTAAAGATGCCATCTTTGTTAGGTCTGCCCCTCCCCTCTAGATCCTGTTAAACATGCTGTTCTGCTGTTAGCTGGGTTCAAAGTTAAACCTACCAGAGTTTGGAAATGAAAGGTTGTTGAAGTTAAAAAGAAATATCCAAGTACCTCTCTGGATAGCTTAAATTTATGCCAAAATGGGCATGAATTACCTATTTCAAATAAAAATTAGATTTTTTCCTTGTTGTTGTCAGTGGTATTCAGGTAATAGTCCCATATTTTATGGGTATATTTTGCCCTTAACTATTGGCTATGGTCTACATTTTATTTTTCTTTTAAGTTTTAAAATTTTATTTTTTAAATAAGGTAAATTATTAATCTGGACAATGAATGTGGAAAATTAGAAAAGAAGGTGGGAGATAATATGAGGAAAATGAATTAACTTATCACTGATGAGGTAATTAAATTCCTTTAGGAAAAAATGTTCCGTTAGATACAAATAAAAATTTACAGAAATTGATGTGCATGAGAGTTAATGTTATTTCAGGAGAGCTATTTTCAAAACAAGTGCTCTGTGGCGACCTTCCAAGAAACTCATACAGAACACTTCTTTTTATTAACATTTTTTAAAACTTCTAAAATTCTTAAATGGAGAGTATTTTACTGGTATGGTACTCTTGTTTTATTCACTTACTATATTGGGTGTCCCAAAAAAAGTAGATACCACTTTGAATAATTATAAAGGCAGTGTTTATTAAAAAATATCTCATTTTCAAAGTTGAGCAATCAGCTGTTAAAATGTGTGTAGATTTTTGGTGAGTCCCTGTATTTCAAGTTATTGTCAAGTCATATTCAGCTTCTTAGTATACAGATCAGTTGGGTAACTGTCCAGATCTCAATAAGATAACCAACCATGTTCCAATATAAAAGGCTAAACAGTGTTATTACATGAACCTTAGCTGTCTTAATTCCTATGGCCTTTTGCTGAAAAGAGTATTATTTCATGTCTGGGCTCATTTTTTAAAAGTCTATCAAAAACTTAAATTCTACTCAGATTACTCTTGATAGATCCAGAGAGGAGCCATTTATTTATGTTGGCAGTGGTGATTGAAGACCTTATTGTCACAGAGACTCGGCTTTCCCTCAAGGTCAATGAGTTGAAATCTATAGGGAATTAAAATATAGTCCAAATAGAAAGCCATAGATGATAGCATATAGATGAGCAGCTTAAATGAGCATTACCAGTAGCATAGGACAAATTAGGAAACTTTGTGTTTTCTACTAACTAGTTAAGTTAGGCAAAAAAGAAAAGAACCTCAAAGTCTATTGCCTTGATATAAAGATATGAAATTTGCACACACTGATATGTACTTCATATTAAAATAAAAATTTGTGAACAATCCTATCTCTCTGGAAAAATGTATTAATTAATCTTTCCAAGTTTTGCAAAATGGTGAGTGTAAGTTTTTAATTGCTCGGACACTTACATCTACTTCTAAATGATATTCTATTACTTATCCAAAACACTACAATGCTGTCAAAGGTGTCTTAGTTTTGTTCTTCCTGTTGTTTTTATTTGTCCCACTTAAGTAGCATCCTTTCAGGTCCTTCCTCATTTTTTATAAAATCATCAATAACTTTTCTGTGGTCTTCAATTCAAATTAAGAATATTATCCTAACCAGTGGCTGGTACTATATAGCTGATGCTAAAACTTCATTTTATAAGGTAAATACACAACCCAAGTAAGTCAGTAATGTAATGTTTTTCTTATTTAATTAGAAAAAACAATCAATTAGTAAGTGATATCCAAGTACTCTCCCAATATGTCTCCTTATATCTGTAAGGACAAACAGGTTGAAAAGGGACTCAGCCATTTGAAGGGCAGCTCTTTGGAGGCTGCCTTCCTTTTTTCATCACAGTATTTCCAGTGCCTAGAACAGGGCCGTGCACTTGATAGATGCCCAATTGTCACTTATTTTATTCAAGCAAAGTGAAACGGACTTTTAGATAGCTAGGGGAAAGCAGCGTTCTTGCTGATGTCAAAGAGCTGAAATAAGATCCCCAGGGTGCAGGAGTTATATTTTCCTCATTACTAAGCCTCTCCACATTAGCACATTTGAAAACAAATTCTTGACAGTTGGTGTATTTTGTCAACCATGTATTCTAAATTAAAACCATGGGCATAAGCTTAGCTACCCCAGGGACAATAGGGCTGAAGCGGTAGATAGAGAGGATGAAGAGCCTGCTGACAGCTGTGTGAAAAGATAGGCAAAGTTCTCAGTGAGGACTTAATGAAGAGGAGGCTGGTGACATAACACCATCGAAAAGGAAGTCCTTGCAGCCTGAACTATTAGCTATGGAGGCAGATAAGCACTGAAGTTCCGCTGGAAGGAGTTAGGAGGCAACCTCAGAAAACTAAATTTGGAAGAAGACCACATCTACTTTAACAAATACAATTTGTGTAGAGGTGTTCTATAAAGATTTTCATTAACCCAAACTATTATGTTTAGTTCTGACTGAGCAGGAAACTATGCAGGACACTAGGAGAGAAAAATAATTGGTGAAAGAGGAGAGACAGTGAGGATTCTATGAAAAGGGGAGCATTTTTCTCTGAGGTACTAATGGCATAAAGCAAAAGGATTATGTTTAATGATGACGAAGAAAGACATTCAGCAGAATTGCTCAAACAGAAAACTTGCGCGTCTGGAATGCTGAGAGGTCAGCTTTGAGTGCTGGTTAGAGATGGATCTTTTATGTGTGACATGATCACTTAAATCTTTAGCTCAAGAGTGTCTTACTTTGACAAATGTTTGAATCTGATCAAGCAGGTCCTTTGAGGAAAAGGTATTTTCATAAAACGATTTTAATTCTGTAAATGGAAACTTGACAATTAGTTAATAAACAGTAAAACAAGATTAATTATGATTCCCAAATGCTAAATGTGATTAGAATAGAAATAGGCCTGGTCTCCTCTGTTTCAATCAGGCCGAGTACTATTCAATAAGAATGTTGGGAGCATTGGCCCCATCCAGCACTGTGGCTCATGGAGACTGATTCCTCTGTAGTAGATTTGAGATTTTGAAATCAAATGCATTTTCATTCTCTGCTTCCATTTATATATTTTGCAGGAATTAACTGATTATCTCTGAGGCATTCAATCAATTGCTGGGGTCCAGTCTAATGCTGACATTTGGCTTTCAGAATATAGTAACTTTTGCGCTAATATAAAAATGACATTTCTGAGCATCAGAGGAGTGCCTGAAAATAAGCACTCCAGTTGGGTGTCCAGTGGTCCGGACAAAATTAAAGATTCCATGAAATGTGCTACCCTGTGTGCCCCAGTGTCAGGGAACAGGAAGTGGCAGCATCTTGGTCCTTACAGATTACCACCTGCAGCAGTTGAAATGAGCTTGTGTGGAGTGTAAACCCAGCCTCCACTTGTCAGATGGCAAATTCAGCCCTTGTGCCATGATTAAAATAGGACAAGAAGTATGTGAAGAAATCTAGGTGAACACTTGTTTTTCTATCAAAGCTAACACAACATGAGAACACAGCAAATTCTTAGGACATGCACATTATGGATCAATGTGCATTTTGATAAGATTAACTTTACCATATCAATAGCATGCAGTATTATAGAGGGCACGTTGTAAGTAGAAAGCATGGGGGATGGCTTTGAGAAAAATAGCAGTTTAAACAACAAAGCACTCAATAATATTTTAAAATACAGAGCACACCACCTGACAAGATTAAAATAGTCACAGCAGAATTCTGCATCACCACAGTAACTTACTGGATGACAAAAATCTCCTTGCGTCTAAAGAAAAATGAAGAGTATCTGGAAGTAAAGATTCATTAATTATTGAGTATACAAACACTGAATTACTTTTGATATTCTACTATAAGGACATGTGCATTAAATATTTTAAGTTTTATTCTACTTCAGTATATTTCTTATTCTGAATTCATATGTTGGTCAGACATTTCTTATTTGGGTTCTCATATTTTTGCTATTGCTTATAAAATAGTATAAAACATAAGTAAAATTAACAACCAGAATCTGCCGAAGAACTGATGGCAATTAAAATGCTAACTGTTTTACATAAAATTTCCTGTGTCAGTCAAATACTATGTATTCTTATGAAAGCCACAATCAAAATTGCACTACTAAAGATTTTCCAGTTTCTGCATATTTGAACTTATACTCAAATGCCATCATTCCTTTGTCCCATATCAAAAAATTCAAAAGGAGGAGTGCGTTCCTTAGAATTGGTCCCGGATAGAAAATGCTGCTTGAAGAAGGAAACCATGAGCCCTTGTGTATTTGAGAGGGTTAATATTGATCTCATCTAGTATGCCTCAGAGTTAAATACACACTACACACACACACACACACACACACACACACACACAAATATAGGTGTATTTTGATATCTCAGAATCAAACAGACCTGGGCTATAACCATACCTGTCTTATTTACTAGATGTATGACCTTGAGCAGTTACTTAAAATCTCTAAGTATCTTTTGTTTTTCATTTGTGAACCAAAAATAAGAGTACCTACTACAAAGAATGAAAGTTATTTGCGAACATGACATACAGAATTTAATACATAGTAATTGCTCATAAACAGTAGCAATTATTATGTTACCAATCCCTCTATGAAAGTAAATTAGGGTAATTTTAATTTTACAAATATTATAAACAACAATAATAACAAAACCAAATGTATTTTGATTTACAGTTTATAAAGCACATTCATAGGATTCTTTCAAATGGTAGGCTTCCTAAGGACATAGCTGTAAGTTGAACAAGAATTTAACATGCAAAACATCTAAAGTTATTGAAGAAGGAAAGATATTCTTAAACTAGCAATTCAACTGTTTGCTTGATTTTGTTGAGAAATTTAATTCCATTCATTATTACTGAATTTGGCCTTGAGTCTTAATGTACCATTACATTCACTCAGCTATATTAGGCAAGATCATTAGTATGGGATAATACACAAAATTTCTGGGGGGAAAAATTGAGGCTAAGAAGAAATTGAGTGTCTGTCAGGTAAGAATATTAGAAACATTGATTAATGTTATTCTGCTATTTTTTTCTGATTTAGTCACCATAGAAACCAAACTTCTGTAACTTAAGTGTGAAAAGGAGGTGAAAATAAGCCCTTTTAGAAAATAGAATCTTTACCTTGTGTTATTTAATTTTTTGTCATACATCTTTGGGAAGTTAGTCAGTGTTGCACTTAAATCAGTTTAAAAAATAATCCTTGGGGCCAATCTCACTATCTTAAAGAGACAGGTCTCTGTTTTACCTGTGCATGTATTGCTGACCTTGCCAATATTTTCACCTAGAAACTTTTCTCACTTCAATGAGTTAAGTGGTGTGCTTTGAAGGAGTCACCACAAAATGTTGTTTCGTTCATTTGTTTATCATATAATAAAACCAAAGGATCATTTGCTAACCTAGTAAATGTGTAATGGATGAGCCCAAAATATTAAATGTTCTTCCTAAAAATGTGGCTTGTGTTGTCAAAACATAAAAATAAAATGTGCATAATGAAATGACATAATTATCATTCCACATAAGAATTTGAAACGTTATGTTGGTGTACCCTGACTGTTCTCATGGAGTTATGGTGTATTAAATCTTTGAGTTTTATTCTCCTTCAAGAAGAAAAAGTATAAAGAGAGAGAATTCTTTAGATCTTTTATGAAACAAGGTAAAATATAAATTAAACAATAATAATTTACATATATAACAATTATAGTATAAAGCTTAAAATGTACATAATAAAGAGATAGATAACAAAATCCTATATGATAAAAGCATAATATGCAAATCGACCAAACAGCAGAACGATCGGTTGGTGGGGGGCGGGGCCAGCAAGCAGGCAGCACCAGGCCAGCCAAGGCACGTGCTAGGGGGCAGATGGAGGGGACTATGATCGGGGGGCAGCAGAGACCAGCAGCAGTGGAAGGGCAATCAGGGGAGGAGAGTCAGGGCTGCCAGCTGGCACTGTCCCCTGATCAGCCCGCCTGGTCACATCCTGCAGAAGGAGGCCAGACTGTGGCTTAGGCCCACTCCCAGCGGGAAGTGGGCCTAAGCCATCAGTCGGACATCCCCCTGAGGGCTCCTGGACTGTGAGAGGGTGCAGGCCAGGCTAAGGGACCCCCTGAGTGCATGAATTTTCATGCACCAGGCCTCTAGTAGTTAAATAATTTTTAACTATAAAATCTTTCAAAGGATTTAGTACCAAGCATCACAATGCTTTTTTGTCAACTAGATAACACCCTATAATTAATATTTTAATGACTGATTAGATATTCTCTTTTATTATTTCTTTTATGGACATGTGGAGACATATAGCAGTGAGGAAAATTGCAAGTCCAATTAGCATGAAGAAATTGAGCAGGTTCTATGGAAAAGAACATGCTTGAGCTTAAGTAAGAAAGAGCATATGGGTAGACTTAAAGGAAATTATCTAAGTGCTTTCTTTCAAATGACAAAGACATATGGCATAAATTACTCAACATTTTGGAAGCTAACTTAAGCTCCTTAATTCTTCGCTTCTAGAACCTACTATCTGCCATCAGTCTCTGTGGCTCCAGCCTCATCAGACCTACATGGTTTTGAATAGGTTTAGCTTTTTCCAGCACTTAATCATGGATCCTCCTCTAGTTACTATTTTTCTAGTCTTACTGTCTAATGTATTAGTGACTTTATTAACATGAAAAACTTCAACAAATAATAAAGCTAAAGATAGATCTCTGTAATGAAGAGTTAATACCCAAACCACTAGATGGCTATTTTAACACATTTCTATAATAAATCAAGCAAAGCATATTATTATGTGCCATTGGAATTACAAACAAAATGTTTTACAGTCACGAATACTGGAATCATACCAAACAAATGGGAAAGTAAAAAGCATGGACACTAAAATTTCCAAGTTTGTTATTACTAGGAGTAATATATACTAATTTTCTATGTGTGAAAGTAAATAAGACATTTAAAATATCTTTGAAAGACACTCCTACATTCTTTTACAAATAAAGTGACATGTAAATAAATGTGAAAATCAGAAAAAAATAACCAGGAGTCAAGGTTAAATAAGGCAGTCCCTGAATTATAAACACTGAATAATAAACAATCTGTAAGTCCTCACCCACCTTTTCTATTAACTGCTATAACAGTAATTGTTAAAAAATAAACAAACAAAAATACAACAACAACAACAAAAAAACAACCTTCTACCTTTTTATAATGGCTGTGTTCAGAAGTGGAGGAAGCTTCAAACTGTGCAAACTTGTAGAGTTTAGGGGATCTGACCTTACCAAAGCCCAAAGTTTGCCTAGAAATGGTACCCTCCTTAATTAAGAATACGTTCTCTGATACTGACCAGCTTTACCCCCACACACACTTTATTATTTGATATCTGTGAAAGACCTACTTCCTAAGGACTTTTGGAGAATTAATGAAAAATATTTTTTAAAAATTCTCTAAAAGTTGGTGCTTAGCAGTTCACATTTTAGTATGAACAGATTAAAACAACTACAATTAATTGCACTGAGAGACTTGAAGTTTTATCACTTGCACACCTTGGGGTGTAGAAGAAACAGACTGGGCCCCAGGCCTGTGGAGGAGGCAAAAAGCCTTGAGAAAAGAGTACAGAAAGGCACTTGCAAGAATACTACTGAAATTCAGTTGGCACACAGAGACTAGACACTTCCTATCATTATGAAGTATGACCCTTCAAGGACTGGGAGACACAGCTTCATACTAGTAATGCTCTATTGTTCCTATGATGTGGTTTCACTTTGGCAGGTTACCTGGGGAATCTATTGATCTTTTACACACAGCATTTCTTAGATTGAAAACTATGCCTTGGGTAATATATAACCATCTTACACATAGTCTTTGGAATAATATCCATTTCAGATGGGAATGGTCTTATTAGAATATTAGCATAGATACATATCTGAATAGAAAGAAGTTTTCATATCCAACAAGCCTAATTTCCTTGTAATTTAGTGATAATACTAAATAATTTCCATTCTGCAGTATTTGGAAGGCGCTGGCTCATCAGGTGACACTTCTCTCTATAGTACAGTTTAGCTATCTTAGACATGCTGGAAATATCCATGCAAAGTCGATCTGTTAGGCAAAGAGCAAACTTTGTAAACAACAGCTATAAATGATTGATTCCTTAGTAAGTTCCAGATCTTTGATGTCATATTTTCAGAGTTAATAATCTTTAAAAGTACAACTGAGTTGTTTTGTATCAATTGCCTTGTGTTTATTTAAGCATCACAAAATATTGACTCTTAAAAGAATCTAAACTTGTTAAGACAGCCTGATGATAGTTTTTATTGAGAATTTGATAAATTATCTTAATAGACAAAAGTTTTTCAAATGTGCCAACATTCTGAATAATATGTAATGCTTTTAAAAGAATTTAAAATTACCTATTCTTTAAAATTAAGCACTTCACTATTTCCAATACATATTATTGACACATATTTAGTACACACATATTTACTTTTCCTTCCAAAGGTACTTTTTGCTTTGCATTTAATTTTTAAATACTAAGCAATTTAAAAAATAGAGTTTCAATATACAATTTATAATTTTAATGTAATGTCATACTAAAATAAGGAGTTATAAAAAGGCTTTTATAAAAATAAACAATATCAAGTAATTACAAATTTAGTTATTTTAAACTTGTGATTAAAAATGTGAACACCTCCAGGAAATCTGATTTAAAAAATCTATCATGTGAAGTGAGTTGTTAAACATAACTTTAAAGGTTTAATGTGTAAAGATATTTGTCTCAGAAAAAAATTAAAAAGCTTGGTTGAAAGCACTGTAGTCCGAGGTTCATATTGAACTCTAAGTATTAAGAAGATTAAGTGATTCTCCGAACATCAGTGAGAAGTGTGCAGAAGATGGAGGTCACCCTTTGAAAGAAGATCTCTGTGACCTGTATAAATAGGAGCCCCACAAACACTTCCAACAAGCATAGGTCAGAATAGGGTCATGGCTCCAGGCCCTCTGGACCACTGTTCGCCCAGAGGAGTGTGCTCACCGCGTTAATCTCTCGTCCTTCAGTTCCAGGTCTGCCACTGTGATTAGCTGGTCCAGCTTGAATTTAGTGTCAATAATTTCTGCATCTCGAGGAGAGTATGTGCCGCCTTCTTTCTGCTTCTGACGAATCCTAAAATCCATGCAGCGAAGTCCAAGAAGGGGTATCACAGAAAGCATTAGACATGAGTCAAATAATTTCTTCGCTGGGATCACTTCTCTGACTATACTGAAAATGTATAGCTACTCAGTATCTTTTTTCAGGTTTAATTCCATAGCACCTATTTTTAATAAATATTCTTAACATGCTAATTTGTTGACGTTTCAAAATTTAATGAGAATTAGTTGATCAAGGCCTGAGCCACTGGCATATTTAAAATATAGAGCAAATGAGACTGATTCTGTGAGCTTATATTCCCCCCCTCCAATTGCCTAATAGATTTCTCCAAATAAAAAATATGCCAAAGTGAAAATAGCTCAATGATATCAGCACCACTGCTAAAAGACAATGCTCTGTTGTTTTAATTATTTTAAATGTTTTAATTAAATCTGTCTGTTATAAATTATTCAAAAATATATAGAAAGCCTGGCATCTTCTGCTTTTGTGTTATCATTTTATTGTTTCTGAGCTCTAAATCCACTCTTCTTTGCCCTGGTTTGTAATATTAGAGCTAGACGCGGTAACATTTCTCTTTTGCCTGCTAGCGAGATGTTAAGCTTTGTCAACAGAGGACACTGGAGTGACACTGCAAGGCTACAGGGATGGGAGACACTTCCCTTGGGGGTTCATGCTGCAATATTTTTATTCATGTGGAAGCCCAGCAGCCCACTTGCATGAGCTCTGGCTGCCTCTTAAGTGCAGGCTCTTCCCACAGGTGAATGGTAACAAGTAGCTCCAGCTGAATATCCAGATATTCAGCAAGAGTTTGTTTCTACAGACCAATTCAGCCTGCCTACCCTCCAATAGCAATGGGTAGCTTCTAAAGAACAGCTCCAGCCCCTTCCCTCTGTCACATTTCTTTGCCCACTGCTAGGCAATAGGCTGCATGTGCTTGTGGTAGCCACTCCTTGTTAGCCTTGGGCCTTTTCTGGTTCTTAGCTCCTTTATTGTCCTCTCTCTCCCTCATCCTGGAAAGGGCATCTGCTTTGCTGCACTGACTAGTTCTGGACCCCTTAGATTCTTTACCTTTTAGTAGTTATGTATTTCTACTAGTTAACAGTTCTTTTTATTAGATATCTCCCATTCAGGTCACTGTTGTGGCTTGTCTCCCTATTGGACTGTGACAGAATAATGCTCACAAAGCATAGTAGGCATGTGAGCACAAATAATTCTTACCTTGCAAATGCAAAAATAGCTGTTCCAAGAAGAATGATTGAAAGGATACACAAAGTGACTGAAAGAATAATCTCCACAGTTCTTTCTGAAAGTCCTTCACCTGAAGAGGACGAAGTATAACATTATCATTAGTTGTTGTTGTTGTTGTTGTTATTATTATTATTATTATGTAATACTATCTTGGATCTCAAAACACAGAAAAATATTTTCTTAGACTATTGCTCAAGAATACTAATAGCATTTACAAATTTGTTTGTTCATCTTATTCTCCTAAATCTTAAAACTTTGGGACTCAATCTTTGGACTTCTTCATTTTTTTATCTAAACTCACTCCCTTGGTGAGCCTACCCAACCTCATGGCTTTAATCTTCATCTATATGATGTTGACTATTAATTGTTACCTACTGAACTTACTTGTATAACCAACTGCCACCTGGAAGTGTAATTAAAATAAAATAAATCAAAATTTCCAAAGCGAATCTCCTATACTTCCCTTATCTCAGGTGCATCCTTCCACCTCTAGTTGATGGCAACTTCACTGTTCCAGTTGCTCAGGCCCAAAACCTTGCAGTCATACTTGACTCTCTCTTAGAAGAAATCCAAAATCTTTGAGGAAATCCTGTTAACTTTATCTTCAAGTTATATACTCTTTTCATTAAAAGAAACTAGAAAACTTGGATGGTAATTCCAAAGTGGTAGTAGGGAACAAAAGGAATTCACATATCTTATGGGGCAAGAGCGCTAAGAAACTTTCAAAGACTAAGGATATAAGAACAAAAGATCCTCTTAAAGAGGTTCCTCCTGGCCAAAGAAGGAGCAATTTAGACTTTATAATAAATAGAAACTGAAATTGATTGAAATAGAGTCAACATATAAAAAATCCATACATTCTAATATTATTGAAACTAATAAACTATGGGAGAAATAATAAAATTAGATACACAATATTAGATTTCTAATGAAATAAGTGATTCAGGTAACAATCATAAGTGCTTTTCTAAATGATGAGGAGTAAGGTTGATAGGAAATTGGATATCTATAGAATCAAAAATAATACCCCACAGATTATTTTCTGGTTATAATAAAGGAAAAAAACTACGTTCTAATAAAGGATTACTCTGTCACTACTACTAAACTTGCTAATCAATTTAAGTTCATTGAAAATGTGGCAACAAGATATTATACACCTTCTGATGTGAGGTATTTTGATCTAGGCAGCAACACTTTTAACATATCCCTGCCAAAATCATTAATTGTGAATATTCAAACCTTTATATCTCATTTCTAATTTATAAGAAAGTACTGAAAGGAGGAAAAAATTAATGCTACCAAGCAAAAGTAATCTGGAAAATTCAGAATATGTTACCTCCTGCAGAACAACTCATCTGGTTGCTTTAATGAGTCTATATCATAGGGGGAAAAAGAAGGGAAAGAGAAGTTTCTTCTAGATTAAAAGAGATTAAGAGATTAGACAATCAAAGATAATGTGTGACCTGTTTATTTTGATCCTGATTCAATCAAGCTAAAAAGAACAATACCAAAGGATGATTTGAAAATGTATGTGGTATTATATAATATCAAGGATTTATTGTTAATTTATTTTACTGTGACAATATAATATACTAGAAGCCCAGTGTGCGAAATTGTGCAGCGCTGCCCACCCCCGTGTGCCCCACTGTGCTCCTAGCCCCACCCACCTGTGCGCCTTGCCTGCTGCCCCGCCCGCCCGCCAGCTGCCAGCCTTGCTGCAATGGGGGCCTGTGGGCCACGCCACGTGAGCCGTGAGCCCCGCCCTGCTCTACCACTGCGAGCGGCTCTCGGGCCAGGGGGAGGGACCGAGAGGTGCTCCATGTACCTCCTGGTGAGTCCGGTCATTGGTTGTTATGGCGTGATGTTGTTATGCAACAGGCCTTTTATAATATAGATAAATACTCATTAGAGAAACATAGTTATTTCAGGGTTCCTTCTGTGATTTACTTTAAAATACTTCATAAATAAAAAAATGAATGCATAAATAAAACAATATGGCAAAATGTTTAAAATTACTCAACTTAATTAGTAGGTTCTGGGGGGGGGGTCATTATAATCTTCAAAACTTTTGTGTATGCTCTACTCACTTCTCACTATCTCAGCTGCTAGCATCCTGATCCAGGCTACCATCTGGTTTTATGTGAATTATTGTATGGACTAGAGACCTGGTGCATGAAATTTGTGCACTGTGAGGGGGTGTCCCTCAGCCCAGCCTGCGCCCTCTCCAATCTGGGACCCCCTCACAATCTGGGACTGCTCACAATCTCATCTACCTGACTGCCTGATTGCCCCTAACTGCTTCTGCCTGCCAGCCAGCCTGAACACCCCCTAACCACTCCCCTGCCAGACTGATTGACACCTAACTATTCCCCTGCCAGCCCGATTGCCCCTAACTGCCCTCCCCTGCAGGCCTGGTCCCCCCCAACAGCCCTCCTCTGCAGGCCTGGTCCCCCCCAACTGCCCTCCTTCCCCTGCAGGCCCGGTTGCCCCCAACTGCCCTCCCCTGCTGGCCTGGTCACCCCTAACTGCCCTCCCCTGCTGGCCGTCTTGTGGTGGCCATCTTTGACCACATGGGGGCGACCATCTTGTGCAAGGGCATGATGGTTAATTTGTATATTACCTCTTTATTATATAGGATACACAAGTTCCCTATATCCACCCTTGTCTTCTATCCATCTATCTCTAAATAGCAGCAAGAGTCATTCTTTTAAAACATTACCTCTCTACTTAAAACCCTCCTCTCTTACAGAGAAAAGCCAAACTCCTTCCAATGGACTATTTGACCTGGTCCCTCATTAACTCTCTGGTTCTCTGACTTCTCCAACCTCCACCTTATACACTCCTCTGGAGCCAGAATGTCCTTCTTGTTGTTTCTGGAACATACCAAGTCACTCTTGACATAGGGCTTTTGCATCAGCTTCATCCCTATATCGGCCTGGAGAGCCTTTTTGGGTTTTTTTAAGAATTTTATTTATTTATTTATTTATTTATTTATTTATTTATTGTCTAAAGTTTTACATATGTCTCCTTTTTCCCCAATTGACCCCACCCCCAGCCCCAGCCATTCCCACACCAGGGAAGCCCCCACTGCCCAGTGTCTGTGTCCATTGGTTATGCTAATATGCATGTATACAAGTCCTTTGGTTGCTCACTAACCCCCCACCTCCCCTGACATTTGTCTATGGATAAATTTTTGTTCATCAAATTATGTTGATCATTATATCCCACATATGAGTGAGATCATGTGATATTTATCTTTCTCCAACTGGCTTATTTCACTTAGCATAATGCTCTCCAGTTCCATCCATGCTGTTGCAAATGGTA